TAAACTCAAAAAATACTGTACTGCATATACCCCTGCACTGGTTCACCTCAGTATCTTGTATAATAATCTGCTCTTCTTGTCCACAATATTGACCTCAATGAAAGCCTCATTCCTCATTTTATTGTATCAGTACTACATTAACTTTATAAAATAGTATTTTCCAGTTCTCTAGTTGCCAAGCCCCACAGTTCAGAATTCTTTAAGTCTGGAGATGCTGTTGGAAGTAATCACAGTCACTGCAGAATGTCTGTGTGTATTCCTCAGTAGAAATATTGGCAGAAGAGAAAATCCAGCCAAAGTAAATTGTATTCTTTACAAATCTTGTAATAAAGAAAAAGAAAAAAAAAGTTCATCAGCAACAAAATTTATTATTTCTGATTTTTTCAGGGTAATTCTGAGACACTTAACTCTGCTGAGACAGTAAAGCTTTACTTTGAACACTTAATATTTTAAATTTAAGTATTCATTCCTGTGTTCAAAAAATAAGCTTTGCAGTAGAATTAGTTTCATATATGAGCAAACACATAATATTTCACTGATCTAAACCAGATGATAGTAGATCTTATAGTAGACAGTAGATCTAAACCAATGTCAAGTAGATCTTGTCTAATAAAAGCAACTCTTAAATCATTGTTCAAAGATGCTTAGACTGCTCTCTGTGCAAATGACAGATGAATATACTATCACCGTACTTATATATTGTACACTGTACATATACTAGCAATGTACTTAAAGAGAAACTGTTGCCAGACATAATGGTAGCTGTGAGATTCCTTTTTTACAGAGCATTTTCTTTGCAGCTCTTTTTATATCTTTTCTCACCTTTTTTTTCTTCAAGTGTTAATTCTTGTTTCCTGCCCCTGGTTCTGCCTGTAACAAACCCAAAAGCAAGACTGGAAGTTTTAAGTTTTGCTGTTTATTGGGCAGGTAATCTTTAGAAGACTAAAACTAGACAGTATTATCTTGGGACAGTATTTCTTTTTTTTTTTTTTTTCCCTGTGACTCAATAACCTATAAAAAGTTGCTTAGCAAGGTATTTTTTAAATTTTAATAATTGCAATTCAACCATGTCTACGTAGAATTCTGGAGGGTTTTGCACATTTCTCTTGGAGTGATGTTCATTTCTAAAGTTTCTTTCCTCTGATTAATGTTGCTTGTTCCTTTCTTATTATATGTAGTTAAGTCAAAAAGTTCACGCATTTCAGGGAATATTTCAGGGAAAATTACAAAGGAAACTAATCACTGAAAAAACAAGCAGCATACATGAGTTAAACAACAATGAAAGTTTGAAAGTACCCATGTCATCAGAATTGATAAGGATCCAGGAGCCATTATGTTCTTGAAGGCTCAGCCACAAAACTGAAAATGGGTAACATGTATGAATCAAATAGATAGGCTGTGTAGACCTGTTAAAAGAGCCACAACACTGTCATTTCAAAATGGTGGAAATCTCAAAAACGTATGTGAAGCTGTTACATAAAGGCCCCTGAAATGCTTAGTCCTTAATCCAGGAGTCAGATAACACCACAGTAAACATTAAGATCCTTTTCAAAAAAAAAAGGTTATGTCTGAAGAACACAACCGCTTCTTGCAGTTATAATTGAAGAGGTGGAACTTTAGGGGATGCTCAGGTCAGTTTGTATGTCTGAGACCTGTACCCTTTGTACTGGAGAGATACTGAGTAAAGACACTATGTCTGTATGCTTTCCAGAAGTGGAATGTATGATCTTCCAGATCTTCTAGTAGATAATTAAACATTTTTTAGCTGAATTCAGTACAGTTTGGTTACTCATGTGCAAAAGGTACAAGAAGAATTTCCCAAGAAAAAGCAGATGCCCAAACTGTAAGTAATAATAAACCATCTTCTCTTAAGTATGGCAGACAACACTTGTTAGTCTAAAAATATGCAGTGCCAAAGCTTTCAGACTTGAGTTTACAGGAGCACTCAGCCAGATCACTTCAAAATTACAGTAAGAGTATCTCCAGTCCAGTGACATACCTCCTCTGTTAATTGTGAGGCTGTTTACAGCCTCATTATTACAAAATACTTTTAAGATTTTTTAGCTTTTAATAATTACAAAGTAGTTTATTACTAAATAATTTTTGTGGAAATCCAATACCACCACCATCCTGTCACGTAATCTGTTTTCTGCCCTGAGGTGACATTGTGTAATAGAAGCAGCAATGCATGTCAGAGTATTAGTTTATTCACGGGTCTGGAAGGCAAAGTGATCTTGCAGCTGCCTAATTCTGTGGACAGAATAAAAAAAAGAGCAGATCCACACCATTTGTTCAGCTGAACCTAGTATAAGTCAAGGTCAGACATTCTCTCCCCAACACAAGTAACAATAATTCTGCAGGGAAGTTGATGATTTGAAGACAAAATTAAATTTAATTTTACAGATTCCCAGGCATCTTGGATATTTGTAATAGACTGTAGTCCATCAGCTTTTACTCTTCTGTCTGAATAGAACATTAGGGAAAAACTAAGAATCTGATGTTTTATTTTTCCAGCCATTTTAAACTGAAAGCAGGTGAGAGGTGAGAAAGTGGGATGTAAACATGGGGCATTTTTCAAAATCATGGGGCTGTACAGCTTCCTGTCCATACCCAGCTCATTGTGCTAAATTTCACTTGAGATCTATGCAAGGACAAGCAATGCTTGTATTGTCCAGACAAATATATTGTGACTCAAAACCTAATTTTCAAGATCCACTGCTTAATGCTGGTAAAAGACTTATACTCTCTTTTGGAATCATAGGTGCTCAGGGGGCAGGTTGGACTTCTGCTTTAATTATAGATAGAATCACTAGATGGAGCCAGAGTCAGAGCTGCAGGAAAGCATTTTATAACCTGGAGTATCCTGGCCAGGTCAAAATTTCCTACTGCATGAAGATCTCTGTTCATTTTCCAAGCACAGATTTTCAACCACATGTATATATAACTACAAGATCACTGAACTGTTAAATTAATGGTTCCAGTTTTAGTGTGATCTTTTTGGGCAAATTGCATGTAGTTGTAATATAATGATGGTTTTACATTAAGTCTAACTGACCAAAGGCTTTAAATTCTCACAGATTGCATGGGTATTTTTAGAAAAGGGAAAAGGAAAAAGAGAGGAGAGGAGAGAGGAGAGGACATAATTTCTAGTTTCAAGGTAGTTTTCAGCTGGAGAAATGCATGCAAGCAGTTTCTGGTACAGAGAAACAGGTCAAGTGATTAGAGCTGTCTGTGCTGCAAGTGCGATGACCACCTTGGACTGGGGTTGTGACAGGGTGTGTGCTTCACCTCCTGCTTCTCTTTAATTGCCAAGAGAGATGAGTTTGAGGTGATTCGTAGGGCCTCATGCACCTTTTCATCAAGGACGTGACAGGACAAAAAGCACCTTGCACACAGCTTGCTGTGCCCAGGAAGAAAGGTAGAGTGGCCAGTCTCCTCCCACTTTGGCTTGGTCTTTTTAAAGCAGTTTAGCAAACGATGGTGACCTAATTGTGAGAATTTCAAAGCACAGGAAAGTATTATAAATGAAAAGCAGATGCTAGTACATGTTCAGTTTCCTCTCTGTCCAGCTCTCTTGTGCCTCTGAGGGCTGTTTATAAGCAAGGGCTGTGTTAAGCCTGTCCAGCAAGAAAAATTGTACGGAACCTTTTTATTTCTACCCCAGAGGATCCAGAAACAGTAGAAGCCCATACACACACACTTTTTTGCTTCCTATCATAATGAAATAAGTCAAGAAATCATGATAGGACTAAGAGGAGAGTGTGGAGAGTTAGTAATGCATGGACATCCATAAACACATCCACACAGAGATATATTTTCTTATATACCTGCTATTAATAGCCTAAATAGGTATAGCCATGATGGTGGTTGAGGGCTACAGTTCCTTCAGCCTATCTGAATTAGGTGCATGGACTGTGTCAAGACTCTTGGAAGCAAATCAAGGGTATTATTTAAGAGGGAAAAGCCATCATGCAAACAGGGAAGGCAAGACCAGAATGATACTTTTCACAAGTGTTCAGCAGGATAAGGCCTGACCTGCAAAACTGAGCAGGGAATGAGGCCCATTAACATATTTTACAACCTCTTCGCAAGAAATCTTCTCTACCTAAAACCATGTTACAAGACCTCACTTATGCTCTTGCATGTTTATACAATTTGGTTTAGGTTTGAAATTAAAAAAAAAAATCAACCAGCTCATAGAGCAGTTGGTGAGACAATACAAATTCCAATACATACTATCCTACAGCCCCAATAAGAGATCAGTCTTGGAATGTTACACCAGGAATGCTAACCGCTCTTCAGGAGCACAGAAAGCTCCTCTAATGATTTCAGGCTAGCAAGTAATGGCAAATAGCTAAGGAAGGACAATATCAACACATACTCAAGCTTGGGATCTCCAAATTGTACTTTTGTTACACACCAAACCAGGTCAGAAGGTCTGTTTCTGCAGCAAGCTGCTGTTCAGGAACCTGCTTTTTTCTCCTGCTGGAGTGCAGATTTCCTAATTCCGCTTATTCCTTGAGTAATTTTGACTTGGAAGCATTGTACTGCAACATAATTTTAACTAGGCTGATATGACTAAGCAATACTAAAATCAGCTGAACAGCAGATTTGTATTTTGTCAAAGCCACAGTTTTTATGGTTGATGCACGTTTTAAGAAAGCTGTTCTGCAGCATCTCCTCAGATAAGACCTACAATCACAGAATAGTTTGGCAGTCAACCAGGATGGAGCACATTCAAAGAAAAGGCAGAAGTATACTTGGAGTGTTGCTCCATGCTAATACGCATGGCAGGTGCCTGTTTCATACTTTACCCTTTGACAGCCAGCTATGATGTCAGATAGAGCTGTACTTGATGAAGCAATTTCAGTTCACTTCCTGTTATTTTGACACTTTCAAGTGCTTCCACACTCAGAGGACAATTTCTGAAGAACTGTTTGCTGGTATCATCTCCACCTAAGAGATTTTTCATATAAAAACTTATTAAAAATCGAAGAATTATGAAAACCACATTTTTATTTGCAGCATTGTTTTTACTGGATTTCTTCGTTTGCTTTCATGCTTATCTACAATATCCCTTGCCTGACACAGAGGATGCAAAGTTCATTAAAGACTGTGTGAGAGCTCACAACACATTTCGATCCAAAGTGAATCCAGCAGCCAGCAATATGTTTCGCATGGTAAGATGGTGCTTGTGATCTGCTTGAAATTACTATAGATTGGGCTGCTGATTTAGCCCATCTTAGTCTTCATTTGCATTGTGTTATTCTTTCCCTTTCAGTTAATGATTTCTGTACTATATGAGTTATTTTTTTTGTAGGAAATAGACATTTTCACAGTTTTAAAAGAGACATTGTTCAGTTTCAGAACAAGACATTGTTCAGTTTTAAAAATGTGAAGGGAATTTCTTGTTTAGCAAAGGATTGCTACTCTCAACTTCAGCCAGAGCAAAGGGCTGTACTGCAAAAAACAGTGTTCAGTTCAGCTCAGCTTTATCTACCTCTTTGTAAGAGAGATAGTAATCTGTTTTATGTCAGGTCAGGTTTCATACAGGGAAGCTGTTTGGTATTAAAAAGTTCCAGAGTAGGCAATCTGCAGAACAGGACTGGTTGGAAATCTATCAACTTCTGTTGTTTCTTCCAATCTAGAACATGCCTTGAATAAAGGGATTTGCCAAGACATCCATTTAGATATCTGATCTTCATTTGCTGTAGCAGGGTTTGAAGAGTAGGGATAGTAACATCTGGGCTGGAAAGCAGAGCTTCCTGCAAATACAATGGATATCAGAATAAGCTATGGGTAGGTCTCAGCTTGTTCAGTAGAATACATAAGGAAAAAGGTGTACAGCTAGCTGAGAGAGGTAACCCCAGTCAGTTCATGCCATTTCTCCAAGCCCTCCAGTGGTGCTGCATAGCTGGAAAGGAAGTTAATGTACAACCACGTGCACAATATTAATCATTTCTATGAATGGAAGTTCACCGTAAAGGGGTAAAATTCAGAGTACTGGTGTTAAAATGTCTTGCCATTTTAAAAACAACGTTTAATTAAAAAAGCTAGCGCACAAGAACAAACTTATTTATTCAGACCAAAGATCCAGCACACCTGGAATAATAGCAGAAAAAATATAGAGAAACCTCTTGTATCAAAGGTGTTCCACGATAGTTAAAAGCTCTTAATGGATTTTTTTGGACTGCAGTCCAGCTCTAAATGTTTTAACAAGTCAGATACAATAGGACAGTGGATAGATACTGCCTATCCTGCAATAACTAAGGCAGAAATAAGAAAAAAATTGCTATAAGAGTAGGAATTTCAAGTCAGAGACAGAAACTAAATGCAGGGAGGAAAGCAGAAAAGGGGAAAAGAATCCTTACAAGTTTCTGTTTAAAACTGTTTGAATTCAGCTAAGTCACTGCAGCACAGGTTATAGTAAGTTTTCTCCCTTTTCTACAGTCCTGGGATGCTGCTTTAGCTAATTCTGCCAAAGCATGGGCAAAGAAGTGCAAGTTTAAACACAATATCAACCTTGAAATACCAGGAAAGATTCACCCCATCTTCCCCCTTGTTGGAGAAAACATCTGGACTGGCACAGCCACCACCTTCTCTGTGGGTGCAGCTCTCAGTGACTGGTTTAACGAAGGCAGCAGCTATGATTTCAGCACCAATAGTTGTACTGGCATGTGTGGTCACTACACTCAGGTGAGCCTTACGTGGCCAATGGTTTATAACCTAATAGTTTCACTGAAAACCTGAATACAGGCTTGGAACAGACTGCTTTGGAACAGGAATTACAGAAGGCTTTTTACTCCCCAGTTTGTTGCTGCAAGAGACTGGAAATAAATATTCCCAACCCCAGGGTTTGTAATAAAAATTAATATTTGTAATAAAAATAAATATTACAAAGCCCAAGTTCTATTTCCACTAATGGTGGAAAGGGGTTACCCCCTGACAATTTCACATTTACAGGGGTGCCAGATAGTAAATGTAAAAATGCTTGTCAATCAGAAGTTTATCTCAACTGCCCTTTGGGGGGTTGGATGTTGCTCCTGTGTCAGATGTTTTACATTTCTATGAGATACTTCCCTTCTCCTTCCTCACCGAATGCTGCTGCTTTGTCAGTCTTTGAAAAGTGTGTTACGTACTTCCCTTTGTCCTGCAGGTTGTTTGGGCAGAGAGTTACAAAGTTGGCTGCGCAGTTCACTTCTGCAATACAGTTGAACATTTTCCAGAAGTGTCGGAAGCAGCACACTTCATTTGTAACTATGGGCCAGCGTAAGTTAATTACTGCGTTTGAGGGTTTTTTTTGGTTTTCAAATATCCTATATATAAATATATAAAGATTATAAATATCCTATAGCTGACCTATATCAGATGCCAACAGTGATGGGAGCAGTTGTAACAGATTTCAGAATAAGCTACACTCTCATGTCACTGGTCTAAGGGAAACTTCCCCTGGTTGTTAAGAATAGAAGCTGCTGGACTTAGCTCGACCTGCAGAATCCCTTTCTAAAAGAGCAGGAAAGCAGATCATAACTGAGAGCGCTCACCATAATGCAGATGGTGGAATAAAATCTGTTTTGACTTCAGTGTCTGAAGGAAAAGTGGTAAAGGTGCAAGCTTTCCGCTTGAGGAAGATTATATCTTTGTATGGCCCCATCCAAACTTCAAACAACACATTTTAGTTGAGGAAATAAAAAGAAGACAGTCCTCTAGTTTATCTTGTACCTTGCAATATTTTGATTTACCTTTTACAGGTTTTTTATAATCCAGGGACTAGAGGCAGATTCTTATATGTTTACACTGAATAACACAGTATTGCCAGAGAAGTCTCATTAATTTTCAGTAGCAAGAGTCACAAGGTAACTGCTCCCCATGCTACTGAGAGCTTTAATCTGATCTAAAAGGAATTTCAAATAACTGCAATGACAAGTTTTTTAATAAAGGGATTCCCTCCCCCCAGTACCTTTACAATAACAGCTAACAAAATACTGTTCTGCTTTGCAGGGGGAATTACCCAAGAAAACCATATAAAGCAGGACAACCATGCAGTGGATGCAGTAATGAGAAGTGTGTAGACAAGCTCTGTGGTAAGACCAAAGTGATCAACTAAGAAAATTGCACAGAAATAAAAGTGGCATCATTAGTAGTGGAAATATAACAATGAGTCAATTTCCAGTAAGTGCATAGTGGGTCTGTAATCCACTACACAGCAAAAGTACCAAATCCTGGTAAGAATAGTATAAGAAGGAATTAATTGCAACACTTTGCTGTTGAAGGCTCTCAGAAGTAGTTTCTGATGAGAAACTCTGAAGAGTTTCTGATGCAGGGAAATATCAATTAGACTATTTTCTCCCTTTTGTCTGATCAGGAAGTAAAATCTAAAACTTCAGCCCCAACAAATATTCACTGTCCGTTTCTTCTCTCCCAACAGAAATAGGAAATGTAACTTCTGCTTTCTTGTTTATTTAGCATGTCCTAACACATTTTCCAGACAACTAAACTTCTGAACCAATAAAAAGACAATACTGAGAAGCACACATATTTCTAACTTCCACAATTTTCTAAAAAACAGCAAGGAGAGCTTGTTTTTCCACAGCAGTCTGCAGCTGTAGACCATTATGTCATTAAACCTATTGCCAAGTTAGTCAATGTTTTAAATAAACTAAGATGAAAGGACATGCAACAATGTCTTAAATCAAGTACAAATTTTATACAGAGGTTTAATGGGGATGGTCTTTACAAGACAAGCTCTAGACATTTCAGCTGTAGAAATTACTGAGCATTTGGTAGTCTTATTTCCTTCCATGACATCCTGGCAGACTCAGCTTAAAGTCTCAGACTGATGCATCACAGGAAAACTAGAAATATCTCAAAGACTAGAGGGAGGGAGAGGAGGAACAGAGCATTTAAAAATGAAGTGCTAGATCCTACAACCCATTTTACCATATTCTCCTATAGGCCAAATGAGCAATTTCAATAGCATGCATTTAGGCAATCCTGCAGATGTGTCAAAACTTCAGCAAAAATGTACTTCTGTGATAAATTTAGTAGTTATATTTCTCTGTCTATAACTACCTAAATTTGGTATGTGTAACAATTTGAAATAAATTCCTTATTTTGTTGTTATTTGATATTCCTTCATCCCCATGACACAAATTCTTCCTGATACAGCTGGGGTTTTTTTGCTTCTCATTCAATTCAAGAAAAAATATGAGCTCCACACCAGTTGGGAACCTGCTCTTGTTGGTCTGCTTCCCCCTTGCTGGACGTTTCAGGCACTGACTGGCATCATCAGTGCAATCTGCCAGGCATCAGCAAAGATTTACCTCTTTACATTAAGAGCTATCACTGAATGATACTCACATTTCTTTCCTCTTCCGATCTTTTTCCAGAAAATACAGACCGGGAGAAGCTGATAAGTACGTATAAAAATGTTCTTAATTGCTTTCCTATGTCTAAGTTTGATGAATCTTAACACCTGTTTCTTCATTGTCTTTTAGATTATGCCAACTGGTATCCAGACTGGGATGCACAGCCCCAGTCCCAGCCACCGTGGCCCCGCATCCCCGGTCCTCCTGTGCCAAAATACATCCCACCTGCTGAGCATCCACGTTCCTCTTGTGACCAGTACTGTCTTAGTGTTTTAATTTTAAGGCCACTGTTTCTGGTACTGAGTGCTAGTGCTGTTCTTTTAGTACAACAGCGATTTCCACACACATTTTTTTATGAGTAACGGTCAATTACGGTACTGATAGCGATCCTACTGCTGTATTAGTATCAGACAATTGCACAAATTTAAAAAAACACTTGGTCATCTCTCCATTATCCCTGTGATGTTTATCCAGCATAGGAAAAGCTGCTTCCTCACTCAAGGCAAGATATAAGTGGCTGTGCATAGAGATAATATTATTAATTTATTGGCAATAGCTGCAACACGTTCCCATGTCTGTATGAGCCTGTTAGCTCTGGCTCCAGGCTAGCTCACTGTTAGAGGGACCACAGAGAGTGTCTATTACTACATGTGCTAACAAGCCTCCTGGAAACCTGGCCATCACAAAGACATGTCTTAAGCGGCCCACTGTATCCAAAAGACGTAATAACTCATCTCCATTAACCTTCAGTTATCCCAGACACAATTTTCACCAGATAACAGAGATTTAACTGTATTACTTTTTACAAACAGAAGTAAAGCTTGTCCTTTACTATATTGAGCCTACGTGTGTCAGTGTCCATTAAAATTACACTATTGTCAGTTGTACTATTCTGTTCTTCTCTCAGAGTTAAGCTTTGTTCTCCATAGCTAGAAGAATACCAGGGAAAGTTGATGGAGCAAGGATTAAGCTGGGGTGTCAATGGGGAGAGCTTAATTTTAGGATGTGAGATGGTAACAAAACTCCAAGCTTTCATGAAGGGGAAAATGTGGGGAGCAGGGAGGAAGACAGGAAACAGAACATGAAATGGGTCCAGGATAGATTCTGATTTAGAAATGGAAAATCTCAGCCTCATTTTAAAAGCCCAATCCTTTAATGGATTCAGTTTAAGAGGTATTTAGCCCTTGACCCCTATTGTTCCAATGTATATTTGTTAGTAAGGGAAACAAACCCATCTCTCAAGCTAAGAGATAATGACCAATATTAGCAATGCATAATTGTGCTATCAATATTTAAAGTTGTTTCTCCTCCTTTATCTTTGTCCTGATGTTTTAAGAATATAGTGACTGAAATTCTGAGCCACATTGCAGCTCTGAATGCCCATGGCATCCCACAGAATAAAAATGCACTGCAACCAAGATTCTTGTTAATAGATCCCTGGGGATGTAGTAGAATGAAATGACACTAAATGACTGATGGAAAGTAGGAAGGAAAGAAGGAAAGAGAGAGAAAGGAAGGAGGAAGGAAGGAGGAGGAAGGAAGAAAGGGGAAGGGAAGGAAAGGAAGAAAAAGAAAGAAGTGGCAGCTTTATTTTAGAACAATTTGGTTGCAATGGAAAGGAGGTAGTTAGCTGTTTGGATTATCTATAGAAATAAAACAATATAAAAGTATAAAAACATCAAGAAAATATATAAGAAAGAAAGAAACAGCCTTAACAGCCTTAACAGCACTAATTTTCATCAAAAGCAGAAAATGTAACCAAAACTCTTCTGCAATCCGTAGTTGTTGCTATGAAAGGCATGACTGGGGCCAAACAAACAGTATCAAGGAAGCCCAAACGACATGAGAGAAACTTGCCCACCACAATTAAAGATGGAAGAAAACAAGAGAGAGGCACGGCTGCCTCTGAGCTTTGATGTGAACTTTTAGTTTAGTTTCCTTATTCTCCTAGCAACGTTCTTGAAATGATTCGTTTCCTGTGACTAATGCCATATTCAATTACCATGCCTAAGATAAGTCCAGCCCACGAGCCTTCCAAAGCAAAACGCTGCTGGTGGAGCTAAAACCACCTCGTACAGCTGCAACACTCTGCCTTTAAAGCTGAAAAGACCAGATGCTGAGACGCATGGCTATAAGGAAAGGGTTAATCACATTTGCAGTATATGCCTTAAATAAGCGCTCGGTGGCGTAGCTTGCAGGAAACTTCACGGGCGCCGCGCACAAACCGCAAAAAGGAACCAAGTCTCAGCTCTGGCCCTGCGGGGGCAGCCTTGACACTGATACTCCTCACCGCAGCGTTCCACTGAAGTGTGTTACACAGCGAAGTGAATGACTGCACAAGCACAGGGAGTGGGGTCACAAACAGGACACTTGGTTCAGGGGGTACTTGCCTCGTGTGACTCCCACAGCAGACCCCCGACGACCGCCGAATTAGAACCCGAGAGTGCGCACCGCCCAAATCGCGGCTACCCTCACAACTCGTGCTAGTGACACGCTAAAACCACGCCTACCCTCCCCTTCCCATGCTAATGAAGGACTGCAGAAAAGATACTTAGAGAAAGGAGAGGCTGGTTCTTCGCCACCACTTAAAAGGCCGAGGCGGAGCGGCTGGTGCTGGATGCACGTCAGTGACTTACTGATTGCTCCATTTATCTTCTCCCTCTCTCTCAATGACAAGCAGATTTTCTGCTTGTGTGCTGGCCTTACTGCTCTTCTCTCATTTCTCTGACTGCTATGAACCATCAACATTGCCTGATATTGAAGATCCAAAGTTTATTGAGGAATGTGTGCAAACCCATAACAGTTTCCGATCTGGAGTGAATCCACCAGCCAGCAACATGCTCTACATGGTAAGAGGATCTTCATAACTTATGTACAAGTGTGTAGCATTGTGATGGTGTTCATGATTCTCAAAGATTATTTTCTGATCAAATGTGAAAAAATAAGAAGAAAAAAAGAAAAAAGGGAACCTCCTGGGGTCATATGAGTGACTACATTTTAAAGCAGAGGAAAAAAGCTCTGATTATCAGGTGGCTCTATGTGATCGGGTATGGGTATGGTTTTGCCATGACTTAAATTCCTCATTTGAAACTCAGGATTTCAGCCTTCAACCTAAGAGCCCAAGGTGTGATTTATGTACAGACCTAAGCCCACCCTTTCGTGCTTCAGTCAGCAAAGACAGAGACTGTGTTGCCCAACAACACTTTCTCTGCCAGGCTCTCAAGTGCTGACCTACAGAGCTGTTTCTTGGTGCTGGGGCTGTAGGGAAGGCCCAAAAGCAATAGTGCAGCAGGAGCAAGTGCTGGGGCATCAGGTTCCTGGCTGCTCTGCCCTCTCCCTGCTCCCTGGACACATAAGGGAGTGATACCTGCAGCTACCATGCAAAAGACAGTTTTTCTTCTTGGGATGAGCTCCACATATCTCTCAAGTGGGCCATAGCCATTATCCCAATTCTGATCTCTCGCTTTGCTCATCTTCCATACTATGTCGCGTGGTCACCATCAGAAGAGGACATAGCCACAGCTGTAATTAGCAACACCCCAGCCAATATTAAAAAAAAAAAAAAGTTCATTTTCCATTTCTGGTTGTCAAACAGTAACTAAGACAAGTGCCCATTAGGGAGGGGTAAGTGACCAATGATCAAGCTCAGATTTCAAACCTGAGAGGAAATAATTTCATTTCTCTTCTAGATAAATCTTTTACTTCAGCTGGGCATGCCGAACTTCCAGTACATGTTACTTTGGACTCTTATTTTTTACATTTCTTCACTGGCCCTACACCAACAAAATCTTGCAAGGATGTGTTAAAACAGCAGTATTCATCTTTTTAAATTGGGCTTACTTTCTCCTTTTGATAAAGTAAAAAACTGAAATCTGGGGAAAAAAGGCAGCTTAAGAAACAAATAAATAAATTACATCTAAAACTAGAACTGAACCATGGTAAGTTTCTTTTAAAACATGGCAAAACCAGTAGTCTTTAATATGACCTCTCCCAGGAACAATTTAATTTGAAGAAAGCAGTACAAGACATGATAAAATCTCTAATGAAAGTAAAAGCATTGGAATAGAAAATGGCATATTTCTTCATTTTTTAGTGGCCTTTAGCATTTCAAAAAGGAGGAAAAGGAGATGGCTCCTTTATTTCGCAGGGAACTTCTTTTTGCTGTAGATAACTGCCCACCTAGATATGTAAAAAAGTAAGACTGTGAATTCAGGGCATTTCTATCTTTTGGAAAACTAGTTTTTAAAAGAAAATACAAGACGGAAATTCCTTTAACTGCAAGTAACAAAGCCTAACCATCAATATTTGTAATATATGTATTATAAACTGAGAATGTTGATCTGAAAATTTTTTTACCTGACAAATGTGAGCCCTTTCTCATCCACCCAAAGCATGGCTTAGAGCTATTCTGAGGCTCCTCAAAATCAGTACAAAGAGTCTCACCAGTTTCATCAGGACTTATCAATTGTCTCCTTTGACTTACTGCTGCCTTGCATCACTTTTCATATATTATACATTCATTTTTTTCCTTCCTAAATCAGCAAGAACTCATTACGAAACTAAAACTGAAAAGTAGTTCATGAGTGAAAATAATTACAAGTACTGCTTCCTCAAACAACAGTGAGACCTATATGCAAATCTCCTTGTCCTGTGTATTTTTCCCATGATGTTTAATCCAGTCTTTTTGCATGAGTGCAGTATTATAAGCAAATAAGGAGTATAACTACAGTATAACTTACAGATAGTTCAGATCATTCTGAACTATCAGTTTCTGTGCACTACTTTTCAACTGTCAGCCTGTTTAGGCATTCACACAAAAAAGGAAAGTATATTTAAGCTTATTAACTTACCTTTATACATGTATACCTTTATGGAACGTTAAACTTTTTACAGGATGAAGGAGAAAAAAGATGTGTAGGCTCTTAAAAAGCAGAATGTGGAAAAAAAAAATGAAGCACTAAGGTGCATCCAACAGGATGCAAAATGCTTGCTTAATCATACACCTTCCATCACGATCTTGAAAGTTACCATCTAAGGAAATGCCACCTGCTCACTTGAAATAAGAGACCCTGCCCCAATTTTACTTTTAGTATCTGATATACTGATTTCCTAGGCAAATTATTTATATGTTAGTTTTGTGGGTGTATTTGGATTGCACGGCAAGGTAGCAAGGAGGCTACAGAGTGGCTTCTGTGAAAAGCTGCCAGAAGCTTCACCCTTGTCCAACAGAGCCAATGCCAGCCCGCTCCAAGATGGACCTGCTGCTGGCCACGGCCAAGCCCATCAGCCACTGTGGTAGCGCCTCTGGGATAATACACTTAAGAAGGGAAAAAGCTGTTGCGCACAAGCAATTGCAGCCAGAGGAGTTGAGAATATGTGAGGAAAACAACAACCCTAAAAGACTCTAAGGTCAGCAGAGAAGGAGGGCAAGGAAATGCTCCAGGTGCCAGAGCAGAGATTCCCCTGCACCCCATGGAGGTCCACAGCGGAGCAGAGATCCACCCGTAGCCCCTGGAGGACCCCACACTGGAGCAGGTGAATGTCTGGAGTCTGTGACCCAGTGGGAAGCCCATACTAGAACAGGGTCCTGGCAAGACCTGTGGCCCCATGGAGAGAAGAGCCCGCACTGGAGTAGCTTTGCTGGCAGGACTTGTGACCCCGCAGGGGACCCATGCTGGAGCAGTCTGTTTCTGAAGGTCTGCAGCCTGTGGGAGGGACCCACACTGTGGCAGTTCATGAAGAATTGCAGCCCATGGGAAGGATTCACCTTGGAGAAGTTTGTGGAGGACTGTCTCCCATGGGAGAGACCCCATGCTGTAGCAGGGGAAGAGTGTCAGAAGTCC